TACCTGATAGGAGACAGCACATAACATGCTGGGGGCGGGGGGGAACACAAGGTTTATAATTCATAGGGCTTTGACCTCTCAGGGAATAAATCTAAATTACAGGATGATTTTAGAAGCTTTACATATTGAAGTAAGCCAGTACTAAGCATGTCTTTCTTTCAAGATAGGAACTTTAGGATATATCAATATCTATATCTATATCCATATATATGGCAGTGACACAGTGATCATCCTCGCTATTCTAGCTTATCAAAATGCAAACCATGAATGCAGTCTTTCTCCTTTATTCAGAATGCCCAATTATTTTTAAAGCAGTACCTTTAATTGTACACATAAAATGCCATCCAATTAATATTTTAAAAGATCTAACTGGGTGTGGTGGTACATACCTGTAATCCTAGCACTTGTGAGGTGGAGACAGAGATTTAGAAGTTCAAGGGTAGGTTAGAATACATGAGACCCTGTCTCAAAAAACAGAAGTCTATGCTTTGATTAGATGAGGATTAGGGAACACAACACAGGTTTCATAACCTATCTTTGGCCTTTGATCATCTGAAAATTCCCTCCATGCACATGCAAGGGACTATCTTTTCTCAAAACAGGCTTCCAGGATCAAACCTAGGTTGCCAGGCTTTGGCAGCAAGTACTTTATCCACTAAGTCATCTTGTTAGCCTCTATATTTTATTTTAAAACATTGCATTTTATTTCCTTTTATTGTGTATATGCTAGTGCAGGCACACATGTGCCACCAAGAATGTGTGGAGGTCTCTGGTGGCTTTAAAGGAAATGGCCCCCATAGGCCCATAGGCAGTGGCACTGTTAGGAGGTATAGCCTTGTTGAAGTAGGTGTGACCTTGTTGAAGGAAATGGGGGTGGACTTTGAGGTCTCATACGTTCAAGCTATGCCAAGTGTGACAGTTCACTTCCTGTTGCCTGTGAATCAAGATAGAGAACTCTCAGCTCCTTCTCCAGCATGACATCAGGGAGTGAACCTCTGAAATGTAAGCCACTGAATGTTTTCCTTTATAAGAGTTGTCATAGTCATGGTGTCTCTTCACAGCAATAGAAACCCTAATGCAAGGTCAGAGAACAACTTACAGGAGGCAGTTCTGTTCCTTCCACCTTGAGCTTCTGGGGTCAGGATTGCACGGCGAGCATTTTGTCTGGTAAGCCCCAAAGGCAAGTTTTGATAGTCGGCATAGATCTATAAAGTAGGGGCATATATACTTCTTTGGATTTCCCAAAGTAGGTGCCTCAGGGTATAACTCCAAGTGCAACCCAGTGTGAACTGAATTTAAGCATTATTAATACTATCACTCTTTAGCTGAATGCAGGAATAGTCAAAGATGCTAAACTTGGGTACAAAAGCTGAATGCATCAGCCCTAGACATTTAGTGTTCATAAAACAATCCACTTCCTACCACTTCAACAGAAGAAAGAATACAATTAAAGAAATGAATGAAACTCTGAAAGCTATAGCATAGACTGTCGCTTTCAAAGGGTATGCACAGGTGCAAGGGACTGTGGGGAACTCAATTCTACAAAAGGTTCATTAGGACACCTTCCCAATTGACCCTGAGAGACTTCAGTGCTGCTGATTTACTTCTGTTATTTTTTTGTTCTCCTCAAACAGGGTATCACACATCTCTTAAATTCTGTCTGTAGGCAATGACCTTGAAGTACATCTTGACCCTTCCATCTCCACCTGTCATGTGCTGGGCTACAGTCATATGTCATTATGTATTCTCGCTGTTCCCTTCACACTCAATACATGTGAATGGGGAGAATAAGCAGAGACTCATTAGCACGAACAATTTATTACATGAGTGTTACCGATACCAAAAGAGGAACAACTCTTATCAAGGCCTCTTCTCTTTTGAAAAGAACAAGAGAGCTGATTTGTTCCAATTACAGGAATTCACTTCCTTCTTCATTGCCCACCCCTTATTCACACACACTTACTGTTTGAGTGATAAGTTCTATGAAACTCTGATTTCTCTCCTCCCACACCCGTCACTAGAGATTAAAAAAAAAAGCAAATCAATACAAATTTTGTACACTCTTAAGTTTGAGGATAAGAATTTCAATAGAAAAGCTATTAGCATGAATGTATACGTGTCTGTTGAAAAAATAACATGAAATCTCCTTAGATTACTTCATCACAACAAAACATGGAAGGCAAGATTTGTTTTTATCTCTATCTTGTAAATGGGAAATTTGGTGTGTCAGAGGCTATTCAGGAGATAATAAGTCAAACTAAGTTGAAAATTTAAACTACTGGATGTCGACTGGTTTAACCACTGACTTCCCACATTATTAAATCATTTCTTAGCAAAACTGCTCAACTTGTGAAAGACTATGTTCTCTAGGTAAGTTCTTGTAAGATTCAGTGGAAGGGGAACACCCCATTCCACAGGTATATAATGTATATAATCTTAATTTTAGTCAGGAAAGTAGTACGTGTATGGTCTATTAGTGACAGGATTTTTGTGGGGACTTGACAAAATGCAATTCCCATGCCCACATAAGGCAGAAGTGTTTAAACAGTCCTTCGAGTGCACCTCAAGTAATGACCTGTGTCATTTGAAATCCCGAAGAAGTATTCCTGTCGAAAGTATAAGGAACCATGACAAGGCACTTGGTCTGTTTCACAGGATCTGGCCAGGTTCTGTGTCAACGGAAGTTCAAACACAGAACACCCAGATGGTGATGGATAAAGGAGCTGGAGACGGGAGGGGGGGGGGATGCAGCTCCAGACCAGCCAGATGTCTGGCTCCTCACAGGGCTGTGCAGAGTTTGATTTCTCTTTGTTCTGTAGACAAATTGGGGATGTTTCAGTGTGACCTTCAAGCACTCTTTCCAGGCTTGTGCCACATACAAGACAGGCCACACTGGAGTACTGTTTGCTTGAGAAGTGCGAGTGGAGGCGGGGCAGAAAGTAATGATGACAGGCTCCTAGAAAGAACATGGGACAATCACATCATGGAAATGTGCAAATGAATCTGTGCCTCAAATGCTCATCTAAGCAAAATCTTATAATAAATTTATTTGAGAGCCACTTTAAGTTTACAGAAAAGGGCAAAAAGTAGATCCCTTAATCCTTCCCATGTTTATAGTGAATGGAACTTTATTCAATCAGTGACTCCCCAGCCTCCTTTGAAATGTGTAAATGGAATTCTTATGGAAAATTCCCCTTTTAACTTATCTTTACACAGATATGGCGCCTTGCACTAATCAGTGACTTCGAGACAGGGCTGTGCAAAGCATTTGTTAGGAAAATGTTTACAATACCAGGTCCCGACGTTCCAGAGCTGAACCAGAGCTAAGGAAAATACGCCTTCTGAGAGGGTGCCTGTGTGATTCTGAAGCACTTCCATAAATGAAACACGAAAAACATTGGCTAGAAATTCTCCTGGAATGTGGGAGGTGGTAACTTAACAGTCCTTTACAAATTCCTCTGTTAGAATGAAATTTTAGACAATTTTAGTGTCTGGGTTAATCTATTGTCTGTCATTGGACAGAATAATTAAAATGAGAATTAGAAGTTAAATCTTCAGAGCTATCAAGATATTTCTATGGCAAGCAATACGGCTTAACTGGTAAAAGCACTTGTCCCTTCAGTCCCTGGGACCCGCACGGTAGAAGAACCAATTGTCACAGGTTGTCCCTGGACCTCCACATGGCTCGGTGGAGCATGTGCCCACCCAAACATAATAAATAATGTGAAATCTTAAAGGAATCTCACAGATATTTTTTTTTTAAGATGGAAGAACTAATGCAGCAATGTGGAGAGCAGAGGATACTCTGAATAAATGTGCATTGACATGGGTGTGGCCATGAGGGTAACACACAGAGACGGCAAAGCTGTCCTCTGGTCTGTTTACAGATGTTGATAGTGTGTGCAGAAAAGGTCTGCTCACCATAGCCATACTCCCTCAATACATTTATGGTCTGAAGACTGCTCCTTTACAGGGACGGCTGTAGTCTTTTTCTTTTTCATTCTTCACTGGGTGGCCCACCACGCGGCTTTCAAATAAATTCACGGAGGCTTATTCTTACTTATGGATGCCTGGCCTTCGTTTGGCTTGTTTCTAGCCGGCTTTTCTTACATTATTCCGTCTGCCTTTGCCTCTGGGATTTTATAGCATGTACCTTTCTTTACTTCTTACTCTGTGGCTTGCTGCACAGCTGGTGGGTGGCTGGCCCCTGGAATCCACTTCTCCTTCTCTTGCTCCCCAATCTTCTCTTGCCAGATTTCTCCTATTTATTCTCTCTGCCTGCCAAGCCCTGCCTATCCTTTCTCCTGCCTCGCTACTGGTTCTTCAGCCTTTCATTAGACCAATCAGGTGTTTTAGACAGGCAAAGTAACACAGCTTCCCAGAGTTAAGAATGCAACACATCTTTAAACAAATCTCCACAGCATAAACAAATGTAACACATCTTAAAATAATATTCCACAACAGACGGCTCCTGTTGTATTAGCTGAACCTGTACTATAACCCATGTCTCCTTGTTCAGCTGCACGCAGTAACACCACGTCTCAACTCTATATACTAAAGAGACTGAGCATCCACTGTGCTGCAGTTTCTCCATCAGAGAGCCCAGGCCACCCAATCCCAGCTTCTCTGTGCATCTGCATTTGTCTTTATTCATTTCCTTACCACCCAGTCAGGTCAAGTCCCTGGAAGGCAAGGACTCAGTTCATCAAAGCAATCCAATACATTACATAATGCTAGTTATTATTTACTTTGTAAACTATATACAAACATCTGTATTGTAAGTATTTTGATATGTTTGAAACTTACTACTGAAATTATTTGGTCATCAATCTCTTGACACAGTATCACAAACAGCATTTATGTGTGTGAGGATTTAAGAATGATTCTGATTTATTTAGAGGCTAACACAAACTAATCTAACAAGTAATTCTAAGTATCTCAGACTGGTTAGAAGTTGAGTTTTATCATCCGTACTAGTCAATATCAGCATTCCATAGGACTAATGAGATAAATTCCTTTATTCCTTGATCCTTTCAAAGCTTACCAGCTTTGTTTCAGTTTCCAGTACGACTTCGCATGTCTCTCTCACCCCTATATTCCATTATTTTATTTCTTATCATCATCTCTTGCTTATTAGTCTTATCTCAAAGGAAAAAAAAACAAAATTTTAAGCACATAACTCACAGGCTTCATTCACAAGTTGATGCCACAACTAAACAGAACTTTACATCCTGGAGAGGAACACATTTGAACAATTTGCTGAGACTAGGGTCTAGTCAGTAGTTTCGGTAAAGCCACACATGAAGACGGGGTGTGAGTCACTGTTTGCAGCCAGCAAAATGGTGCTCATACCATGAACTAGTCTACATCCTTGCTTTGGTCTCTCTAGGACCAGCTTAAATAAAAAGCAAGTAATCTATGCAGAAAACAAATCACACTCTGCTCTGTCTGTAAAGAACGGTGCTGCTACAGAAGCAGCTCCAGAGGTGCCCACCCTGGAACTGGGAGAAACCACGGCTTCTGTTCACAGCAGGGCTCACGGAAAAGCTTGGAACTTGCTAATTCTGGCCCTAAACGATGTTAAGATCCTGTTTACTCTCACTATCGCAACAGGCATAACCCACACTAGGTAGGTTGCTGCATTGCTGAGTTTCTGCTGTTTCCTGGTAAGAAAGAAGAGAGCCAACAGTTTTAGTCAGCGGCACTGCAAGCATCTGGAAGCCTTTCTTATTTCCCAACTGCTCCAAGGATTAACATCAGGTTACTAGAGAGGATGTGGCTGATGCTGAGCTGAAGAGAAATCACCCAGGTAAGCTGAGGCTACTCCTTCTGTTTCCCCATCTGCTGAGCTGTTAACACGAAGACATATTGACAAGGGCTCAAGGAAAACAAGGAATATTCCATCACTAAGATTATGCTGCCCTAGAGACAGATGTTAGAAAGCTGTAACATTTAAAAATAAAGAGATAATCACATGCTTGAGGGGAACGACTAAAATCATTTCAGAGGTAAGGGCGAAAATGAAAAAGGAAAATGGAAAGACAGAGGCCCGTGTGCCCACACAAACTGGAGTTGCAGCTCTGCCTCGGGCGAGCCTTTGCCCGTACACAGGCGTTCTCCATGCACGGGGTAGGTCTGTAAGAAGTACTTATCAGGGTTGCTATGAATTACAGAGAACAGACTTATCTCTTGTCATCAGCTGGTTAATGTCAGGGCTTAGATGTAAATCCATATACTCCAGTTTCATAAAAATCTAAACATAAACATGGACATTTCAGTAATTAACATTCAGAGAACATGAAAACATTAGTCGGTTCTAAATGTATCTGGCTGTGACTTTTCTGTGGAGTCAAAGCCCTTTGCCTTCACTTATATTTACTAATTCACTACACAGGGACCACAGTTGAAGGTTACATATTTACAGTTGATTGTCATATAGTAAGTCAACACTGAACAATTTTAAACAGCACAGTCTCCTTTTTTGTGACATTTTAACATCGCTTTGCAAATGAATGCAGAGTCCGAACAGGAGCAACATGGACCAGGTTGGATTGAAGTCCCGAACAGTTATTTGCTGCACTGCTTCCATTTATCTCTCTGTAAAACAGAGATAATAATGTCCACCCCCAGGGTTACGCACAGGATTACATGTACATACATGCCACAACACTGCATGTGCACTTTCAAGCTTCAATAAATGGCAAGTGACATCATTACAAAAGAAAGCAAACAAAGACAGAAAGCAACTGATGTGAGCAAGCAGATGATCGCCCCATTTAATTACTCCTTGTTCTTCTCTTAAAACCCACACACTCTGCTTGTATGGAGTAGGAGAGACCCCTCCTCATTTTTTTAAATCACATTCTCCCTCTGGAAAAGGGGGAGAATACCCCGTGACGGTGGAGGATAGGACAAAGGGAGTTCCAGAGAAAGCGAGAATAAACAGACAACTTCTGCTGGAAGGGAAGGGAATGACATCTCACTTGATGGTGCTAACTCCCCTTTAGTGATGGAAACACAGACAAATAATGGCAAAACCTGCAAACCAGAGGCTTCAAGAGATGCCCCTGCTTCCTGTTTGGCATTTCTAGGAGACAGCTGCGTAGCATAACCACAGCCCAACGTAGGAACCCTACAATCAGTACAATGGCAGCATGGTGAGAGGGCCAGGGACGTTCTGTCATGGCAGGCTTCGCACTTCCTCGGCTCTTGCCCAGCAGGCTCTCATGCTGACACATTCCTTCATGATCACAGTAGCTTTACGTGGAAGGAGAGTTGAAAATGAGAAACCCAGCCGTTTGAGTCAGTGTGAAGTAAGCCCAGCAGAGGAGAGATAGCAGAGTGGACTGGCCAGGCCAGGGTTCACAGGATAGATGCGGCTGAGACATGCAGACCAGCAACTCTGTTGAGAAAAGAAAGTATGTGAGCGGTGGCGGGCATGGGACTGACAGCCTGGAAAGAGCTGTGGGGGAATGCCAGCTTTCCTCCGAGGCGGGGTTGCTGAGAGGGGCCTATGCCCATGCTCACTAACTGGTGAGCTTTTTTTTTTTTTGGTTTTTGCACATGAAGTCAGGAGGCTAGGTAGTGGTGAGGAACAGGGGAGGAAGGAGTGTATTGATTAAAATGTATTATATACTAAGAGTTCAACTGCAGATCAATGAGGAAACCGCCAATCAATCTGTTCTACATGGTCCCCATTGGAGTTGGCGGGAAGCACACAAGAGCATAAAGTTTCTACAAACCTGAGGCTTTTTTGCTACCCTCCCCAACTCCAGCAGGACACACAACATGTCCTAATGCCTGCAGGCCCAATGTCCTCTACGAAATGGGGGCAGGGTAGAGTAGGCACACCAACCAATGTGCCCTAGAGAACATGTTTCAAACCTAAAGAAACTGGAGAACTTTGGTCATCTTCCCATCCTGTTTACTCAAGAGGATCTTCCATGCAGGGCAGGAGGCACACACCTGTAATTTCAGCACTAGAGATTTGAACAAGCAGAAAGCTGTTTCCAGGCTGGTTTGGGATACAGAATAAGATACTATCTCAAAAAGCAAAACATTTGCAAGAAAAAGAAGAAAGGATTTAACACAGCAAAAACAAAGGAAGGCCTCAGCTCCTGGTTAGAGAGACACTGCTCTTTCTGTGAGTTACTTCTTTGCTGAGACTCAAGACAGGAATCCAAAGTTTGGATTGTGAGTATTTGATAGAAATTAAGGCTTGTTCATATAGTCAATAGTTATCTGTTTATTGTCTCCCAGGAATTAACAATGTGTTTTAATACTTAAAAAGATAAATATTTATATATTTAAATATTTATAAAGATAAACAAGATGTGAGTTCTCTCCTTGATGAGTTACAGTTTTTGTGATGTGAATAAATGTGTTCCTGCCTATTTTTAACAGCAAAGGAACAATAATAAAATATCACAACTATAAGAAAATGAATTACCTTTTTCATTTACCTTGCACACAGAAGCAATGGAACAGGCTACTCTTGTACACAAAGGAGTTACAAAGCATTGTGTGTGTGTGTGTGTGTAAAAATCATCATTACAGAAAAGTCTGTTTCCAGAATAGCATAGACTCAAGAGGCAATAATATGCAAAATTATGTTTAAAATTTATATTTGGGAGTTGGAGATATGGCTCAGTGGTTAAGAGTACACACTGTTCTTTCAGAGACCCCAAGTTCAGTTCCCAGCACCATCCCAGGTGGCTGACAACCACGGGCAATTCCAGTTCCAAGGGGACTGGATGACTCTGGCTTTCACAGGTACCTGGACTCAACCATACACAGACACACATGTGACTAAAAATAATGACAATAATTCTGATAAGAAGTTCACTAGGTTTACTAGCAGAGGGGCGAGGTATGAAGGAATATATCATAACACTAGCATTACCTGGCTCAGTTTTTAATGAGCACTGTTTGCACAGATATACAAAACCATATAAAACAAGTATTTCATGACTGTCTTAGTTATCTCAGAAAATACTGCTTGAAGTTTTTAAGAAACTAATGTGAAAAAGTGAAATGACATTGTAATAAATGCTCTAAGACATTTGTTTGGAAGTATGGACACTTTTCACGAAGATTTTCTTCTAAAGATGTATTGCATCCCTTAATTTATAATTTAAGTTCACATTTTTATATGACCAGGTATTCTTTTATTTTTGCAATTTTATATTTAGTCATACATATATTTGTAGGTATGTACATGTGACTGCAGGACTGCAGATGCTCTTGGAGACCAGAAGAGGGTCTTAGATTATAGGAGAATTGCAACTGTATTTTAATAAATAAAGACTGCTCGAAGATCTGAGAGTAAAACAGCCCCACTGGCTAGCCTTACAGACCAGATGATGGTAACACACACCTTTAAACCCAGTAGTTACACTAGTTGCTATAGAAACTGGGCAGTGCATGCCTTTAATGAAGGCTGTGCATACCTTTAATCCCAGCTCTAGAGAGGAATATAAGATGGGGGAAGATAGCTCTCAGACACAGTCTCCTTCTGAGATTCCAGGAGGCAGGATCGCCATTTCAGACTAAGGTCGAGGTAAGAGCCAGTGGCTGGCTGTTTTACTTTTAGAATCTTCAGGTTGAACCCCAACTTCTGACTCTGGGGACCAAACTCAGGTCCTCTGCAAGAGGCCTGCATGCTCTTCACATCCAGGTCGCTGTTCAGCCCTACATCACTAGGCTTCCTCAACTGTGGGCCACCAAAACCTGCAGGATGAATGTTGTTAATAGGACCTTGTGAATATGGAAGAGAAAGCTATGCTTTTACAATAAAAAATATCCATGATGTTCTGGAGATATTAATTTACAAAATGGCATAGTAGGATATTTTCAGAAATACTTACACTGACTTCTTGGGAACCACTGTTGACCTGTAGAATTTAAATATATCTTTTCTTATCTTGTTCACCACTAAATGTATTTGGCTTTACAAGCCAGTGCATGGAGAGTATGGAGTGAAGTTTGGGAGAAAATCATCTCTTTGTTATGTGTACCTCTGACAAAGTCAGTGTTCAGCCAGCCTGTGTATATCACATATTGATTGAAAGGTGATACCGTAAGAGATTATAAATAATTCAGCAAATAGATTCTATCTGATTAGCTTTTCAAAACAGTACTTCACCTCTTCTCAGTGTTCTTTACCGTCAGAGGGTGCAGCCGCATTTGAAATCTATAGTTCATGGCATATCTGGGCTGAGGTTAGACTAGGAATTTACCAGCCCTGCCAGTCTCCCTAACTTCCTCCCACATTTCCTTGTATCACTCTGGTTCTAATTAGTTGTCTGGTAGAATTAAGAACAGTCTATTCCAGTGAGTGCTCATGTGACCATTTAACAACTTTCTGCTACAATGACAGCTTCACGACAGGAAGAAAAAACTAGAAAAGCAAAAGTCACTGGAGTAACCCCAGTTTACTCAACAACGCTAGCTCAACTGAAAATGCTGAGACTTCATGATTTTTCCTTTTTGTTATTAAGCATCAGGCACGTTCTTCTTGCCAGGAGACAAGGCGCAGTTTGATGGTATTCCTGCTTCAACCAGCATGTTTTGAACTGACCTGTCTTCATTGCTACGGCTCCCTAGAGACGCTGCTGCTGCTGTGCGTGGATTCAGCTGAGTGCTTTGACGTTGAGCTTGTCAGTGAAAGCTATTTTAGTCCTCAACTGCCTCCCTTCCAAGACTGCAAACTGTTGCTGCTCAGACAGAACGCTCACCATTTGATTACTGTGACGGAGGGAACAGAAGGGCTACTATAGCCTCTATTAACTGGATCTACAGGGGAGCGCTACCTAGCAGGACTAGAGCCATCTTATTTAATCTTCACATGTGGGGAACCTGAGTAGCTGAGTCAGTCCCTCCACCCCGTTCTTCCCTCCCTAACTGCAATATCCACTACTCTCTGCGACGAGATGGCCTGACCTGTAGCAAAATAGAATATTCTTCCCGAAAGGAGACACTCATGGGCAGTCCTGAGAACAGCCGCTACAGGAAAAGCAGTAATGTTCATTATTATTTTTAGGATGAAGATACCCAACTGTCCTACTTGCCTGAGAAGGGAAATAATAAAAAATAAAAACTCACTCTATGGCACTTTCTGGATGCACTGAACTCCAGCTCCATAGGAGGGCATCCCGACCCAACAGTAGAACACTTTCGCAGCACACCTTTTGCGCCCACCATCTTTGTCGTGTCACCATTGCCTTTCCCATTTAAACAAGTAACACCATGAGCTGGTGACTGCTGACAGGGACAGTAAAACTTCTGACAGCATGGTGGGTATCAGAGTGGAGGAACCACTTCTTTCAGAATTGAAAGAGACAAAATGGCAGAAGGTGGTGGAATCCATTGGTAACTTGCCCAAGTTTGTACAGAAGTAGAATAACTATGCTAGATAGTTACATAAAAATCCTAGGCGGATTCCCAGAAATCCCTGTGGCATGTCTTGAAAGGGAGTGACAGGGATCCCCAGCTCCTGGCTGGACATGAAGCAGGTTCCCACATCCAAAGCATGACTTTCCCCGCTGTGGAAGAAACACTGCTGTTTACGGTAGCCTTTTCTTTCCTGGGGCAAAGCTAAACCACATTTCTTTACCTCCCATGCCATTAACCGGAGAACTGTGGCTGAGTCTTTAAGTTCAATGAAGCTCTGTGTGTATTTACCTTCTTCCTTTCCCTGTTACCCAAATGGGCATGAACTGGTGGAAGATGTTATTCTAGCAAACAGGATTAAATGAGCAAGATAAAGAAATTATTTGTTTCTATTGTGAATGTATGCAGTAGGAATACTGGCTATACGCGGGGCTTTGCCACAATAAAATCATAGTGTATATGTTATAGCTATTGCAGCCATCTCAGATGTCACTTACACTATAATCAGAGATATTAAAGACAATTAATCAACACACATACTGCAAGACTTATTTCTTACGCTACTGAAGCAACCATATTATTGTTAGAGACATTTAAAACCTTGACAATACTATTTCAATAACTTTTTCCTTATAATCCACATGATAGTGATGCCTTCAGGAAATGTTTTTCCTTCCCTAAGAGATCTTTAAGCTTTCTTTACTGGATCACCAAGGGGCTATAGAGACGTTCTTGGTGGATCCTAGAGCCTTGATTGGGAGCAGAGCCTTGCTCCTCGCCACCTAGTCCTTATCACCCTGCAGATCCACACTACTCTGAGGAAAGTAGCTTAATTCGTAAGCCACTAAGTCAGGTGCACTTTATTCAACAGTTCAGTTACTTTATGCAGAGCACTGCACCCTAACTACTGAAGTGATCCCAACAAGATCTGTAGGAGCCTCTGGCTGGCTCTGACCCAAAAATGAAGACTGAGGAGCAAACATTAAATGGGGTTATGGAAAGTCTCAGAAACAAAAGCAGGTAAATCTCATCAAATTCAAGGGCACCCATGGCAGACCATGCCGCAAGAAAAGGAGGGAGGGAGGGAGGGAGGGAAGGAATGAGCATCTCAGGAGATATCAGCCTGGAAGGGAGATGAAGTTGAATACAGGAATCTAAGGCTCAACTATGCCCCACAAGGCATTGTAATTGTATTTGTACAATGAGAGTCCTCAGTGCCATGCCAGAAGGAATCTTCTTTGGTATTTTTCTCTTCACTCTTCATCTAATAGATGAGCAGATGTTTTTATTTACTTGATTTCTCAGGTCCTAAGGGCTTTTGAATTTACTATACTTCATATGTAGTTGTTAAATGCTCTTATTAGCTCTGTTCTCAAGACAGAAAAGCAGCAAATTACCACAGAGATGTAATCCATATTGCCTACATCCTTCCACAGAGATTTTCAAAAGAAGTAGTTAAAAAAAATCCTTTTAGATTAAATAAAACCTTCAGGGATAAAAACTTTCTTTCGTTTGATGTTTTCTTACTTCTCCTTATTTTTAAATTGTGTGTAGAACCAGGGTCTTGCACATTAGACAAGGGAATGCCGGCATCACTGTGCAGATAAAGGGTTTGAGACAGGCAGAAACGTGATGACCTATCTCTGAGGGCATCGTATTTTCCATTTTACCTCCCCCTTTACATTCTTCTGCTGCCTTGATCCCCGATCAGATGGATCTCACTGAAACTTTGAAATTGTCCTCAGTGCCTGGACCCTTGAATTGTATGACATAATTCTTTCTGGAAGAAATGCAGAGATATTCTATTATTATAACTGAGCCTGTCCCTAAGATTTAAAAGGTGCCTGTTGGTGTGTTTTTTAAATTATATTTGTGTGTGTGTCTGTGTGTCTGTGTGTGTATTTATGGGCACATGTGCAGAGGTCAGAGGACACCTTTTGGGAGTTGATTCTCCTCTATCATGTGGGTCCCAGGGACTGAAATTGAAATTGAATTCACCAGACTTGGCTGCAAGTGCCTTTAACCCCTGAACCAGCTTGACTATATTTTTTTCTTAAAAAAAATAATAACAGTAATAGTAGTAATAATATCTCACTAGCCCAGGATGGCCTCAAACTCAAACTCACGATCTTCCTACCTCCCCCAATGTGGAATTACAGACACGTGCCACTATGTGTGGCTTTAGTGGCTTCTTAGAATGTTTTAGCAAGTATAATACTTTGCTCTAAATTTTTGTGTGAATTTTCACAAATCCAAGAGTGAAAAAACAGCATAAGGAACCCACAAGCACATATTTCTCACCTTCAACAATTATTACATGCTGCCATTCTTATTTTATTCTTAGTCTTTTTATCCTGCAGTCCTTAAGCTCAAACCCAGGGACCCTTCACAGGCTAGGCAAACACGCCTCCCCACCCCCACTCATCCCACCCCTGCCCTTTTTAGGCTATTCTTATTTGAATTCTCCATTAGGACTGTGGGGTGCTTTTTTTTGTACCTTTATTTTTGCTGGTGTATTTTTAAAAACAATTCTAGGCATTGCATTAGTTAATTTGACTAAAAAATATTTTTTGTATGATAATTACTTTATTTCACATTTAGCACACTTAATGGAACAGAATTCATGTTGGAATTTTGCCTAGGTGTCTAAGGTCCTCCTAGTAGTTGTATGGTTGCTATTATTTTTAGTTTAACAAAAAATTCTTTTGTTGTTGCTTTTTGTTGTTGGTGGTGATGGGCACTGGATCTGGGACTTCCTGTATGCTAAGCAGGAGCAGTACCAGTGAGCTACAGTCCCAGCTGCCCGCCCCCTCCCTCTTTAAAACACCACTGAGTTGCTGAAGAAGTCAAGACATTCTTCTGTTAAACACCACATTTTCAGTCTGGATTTTGCTGACTGCACTGTGGACCATTCGACATGTCCCTCTACTTGTCTATAAGAAACACATGTGGGATCTACAAAAGAGATCTCATTTCTTTCAGCCAGAATATGGAGGGCATAGGTGACATGGTGGATACCTTCACTGTGTGTTTTAGGTCTGACCTATCATTACAAAGGGTCACAAAGTTTACCTATTAACGATTAATGCCAATGGGCTCCAGAGTCATTACTTTATCAAGAGCTATAAAATGGTGGTTTCAGAATTCCACCATTCCAATTCATTAACTGGAATTCTCAGAAGATACAGTTCCTTGCAAGTAGTGCAAAGTTACCCAGGAATCCGACTCATGCCAAAGTGCAGGAAGAACCCTCTGATTTTGAATTTTCAGTGTGTGAGTTCTTGTGCATTGTCTCTAACAGTGAGCCCTGAATCTTGGCTGTCATGGGTACCAGGTTGTGGTCACCAAGAAACCCAGCAAAAGTACAACAGGGCGGGACAGGATGGGATTGGGTAGGACAAGATATGACACAAAGGGATACAGAGGGGCCTGGCCAGGGAAGAGAATACCTTGAGCAAGGCTCTAGGAGGTGGAATCCAGGTCCTCTGAGCTGTCCTGGTCATCGGTGCTGTCACTGCCACTGTCTTCACCGGCAGGGTTTTCCAGCTGACAGGCATCTTCGGCACCAGGAAGTGGGCTGCCCTGGGCCTCCTGGTTCTCCCCATAGCCCAGAACCACATATCTGCCCTTCTTCAGCACCAGCTGCCGTCTCAGCTCATCTGCCATCTGTGAGAGATCCCGCTTCATGGCGTATGCATCTTCCCCATCGGCGTAGTACTTGGGTTCCACCTCACTAACCTGGAAGTTGAGGGTGTTCGAATAAAGGTGCAGGGCCGCCCTGTTGCTCTTCCGGACGTGCAGGGACACATACTTGGCGCTGAAGTTCTCGATCATCGCCCGCGAGGCCTGGTCCATCAGCTTCTGGGCCAGGCCGAGGCGCCGGTGCGAGCGCTTCACGGCCAGCGAGGTGATGTGCCCGTGAGGGACATCGTCGGGGTCCTCCTCCATCTTGGCTAGGACGTAGCCCACTATCTTGCCGTCCTCGTCCTCGGCGATGTAGGAGAGCTGGGGCCACGACAGGCCGTGGTAGAAGTAGTACTTCATCTGGTAGTTCTCCGGCAGGCACAGCAGGTTGCAGTGCTGCATGTTCATCAGGTCGTCCGGCCGGGCATTGCGGATGTTCATTCTGGCGGGCGTTGCCTCTGGACTTCAGCAGGCCCAGTTGCACGGGGCAGGAAGGCGGGAAGAGCGATGGGCGGAAGGGGCGGGGCTGAGGGAGTTTCCGGAAGTCCCAGCCAATGGGTTTCCAGTTGGCAAGCCAGCACCTGTGCACACTGGGGAGAGGGCGGAGCGAGAGCCGCTCTGAGCGCTGCTCTGTTTGAGAAGTGTGTGTCTCACTGATTCCTGTGCCTTGTCTTTGTTTCAATTTTAACTTTTCTTTTAAATTTGCTTATTCTCTCTCTGTGAGTATGTAATGTGTGTATAGGTATGTACGTGTGTGTGTGTGTGTGTGTGTGTGTGTGTGTGTGTGTGTGTGTGTACCACGGTGCATGTAGAGGTCAGCCGACAACTTGTGAGAGTCTCATTTTCCAACAAATGGATCCCAGGAATTCAAGTCCTGACTATGTCAGTAAATGCCAATACTCCCTGTACTCAGCCATCTATTTGGACCCAATTTTAACCTTTTAGCTTGTCTACATCTGAATAGCCCCCTATGTAACGCGAACAAACATCAGTGCCATCCCAAGAAGCCGGCCCTTCCTGCCCCTTGCCCCACAGACTGGTGTCTAGCAGGTTTCATACAATAAAATCATACAGCATGCATTTGTTTTGTGTATTTTTTTCACTCACATACGTGGTTTTGGCAATCTTATACACAGCTGAGACCTCTATATTCTTAATTGTTTCTATTTTGTTGTCTAATTTACTGCAGTTCACTGGGAAGCTCTGCTGTTCCTGGCTATTTGTGTTATTTCCAGTTTGCGATAGTATAGAGAGCATGGCTCACTGTTGTTGAATATTTAGGCATGTGCTCACCTGGATTAGAGAATTTCAGGATTTCCAAACGTTATACATATTGCTAAGCAAATTTGCAGAGTGATTGCTCTACCTTCCTGTTAGAAATATGTTCCATGTTTCAAACAAAGACACCACTCCAAATGAAGTGTCTGAACAAGGCAAAACTGTTGATCAAGAGGGTGTGCGCAGAAGACTCAACACAGAGACAAGAAGTACATTGGATTCTTTTAACTCTGATGGTGGCTGTGTCTTTCTGGGTTGGCTGGGTTCCTCACAACCTTACTGAGCTGGCTAATCTGAAAACAAAACAAAAGACTACAAAAACTGGTGCAGAGGGAATGAAGAAAGAAGGGGGAATGGAGTGACTGTTCCAGGCCATCAAATTTCTAGAATAAAGCAATGGACCTCTGTATAAACAAAGGTTTTACTGGGTACAGAGAATTAAAACATTTGTATCAAAGTCTTACAGGGTGGTCATGAGGGAAATAAGAATATCTTAATTCCTTGTCCTAAACACAAGTTATATAGTATTTGACAGAAAGATGTCATATTTAATATTTCTTACATTGTCGGCATATGCTATTTCTCCATTCTTTTCATCTTTTACATTCTTGTGCAGGGGTGGAGGTGCTGCGGTGTGGTTTATTTTGCATTTTTCTGGGGACTAGTGATACTGAGCACCTGCTTCTTAGCTGCTCTCCGTCCTCTTTGGGGAATCAGCTGCTCAAGTTTCTGCTTATTTTTTAATTGTCTTGAATATCTTGATATCACAATTCATTTATCATTTTAAAAACAGTCATCATCTTCTCTGTGCTATATCCCAGTGTCACCTTTGCCATAAACCTTTGGTACATTAAAAAGTATATTATCTTTCAATAAAGCAAAATTTGGGATTATCTTTTAATGCAAAATAATCACATTTTGTTAGCACTGTTTACATGTTACTGACAGTAATACATATATATATTACAATGCTGACTGGTTTTGTGTGTCAAAATTTAACAACAATTTAACAACAAAATAGTGACTATTTAAGCTATGTTTCATAACTCACATGGCTCTAGATATCAAACAGCGTGTACTGTCATTGGTAAGAATTCTGGTATAAATTCTACATAAATTAAGAGCAAAAGCAAGAGCAGGTTATATTCTAATTACAGTTGAATGCACTTTAGGATTTGCGTTTCTGTTGGGAAACTAACAAATGTATGTTACAGTCATCAGAGAGAAAGGATCCTCAGTTGAGGAAATACCTCCCTCAGATACAAATGTAAGGCATTTTCTCAACTAGTGATCAATGCGGGAGGGCCCAGCACAGAGGTGGGTAAGGCCACCTCTGTAGTAGTGGCCCTGGGGTTTATAAGAAAACAGACTGAGCAAGCAAGACATGGGAAGCAAGCCAATAAGAAGCTCTCATCCATAGCCTCTGCATCAATGCCTGCTCCCAGGATCTTGCCCTGTTTGAGTTCATGTCCTAACTTCCTTTACTGGTGAATAGAAATGTGGAAGTGTAGTGCAAATAAACCCTTCCCTCCACAATTTGCTTTATGGCCATGGCGTTTCATTATAACAATAGAAACTCTAATTAAGACACATTGGTACCAGTGTGACTACCAAGAACAGCAGCAGTGGTGGAGTGGAGACAGCCCAGCCTAGAAGACAAGCTGTGTGTGCTGCAGAGGGTGGAGGTGGAGAGTGACCCAAGCATTTTGGAGGAGTTTAGCAGATGGTGAGTGGATCCCAGTCTTTGGATGGTTGGAATTTAGTTTTGCTTTGATTTGATCGTAACTGTATCCTAATTTTTTCCCTCTCGAAGCAAGAAAATATTCACTGGAGCTCACAGTAGAAAGACTTTGAATGTTAAAAGATTTTGGATTTTAAGAAATTGACTATTTTAAAGGGACTGACATTTTAATGTCAATCTGTAAAGACTGTGGGACTTTTAAAGTTATTTATGTTTTTAGTGTGAGATCTTGGGGATGAATAGGAAAGGAAGGGTTGTGTGTTAATTGTGATATATTTGTGTATCAAGTTGACCAAGGTCAGCTGTACTGGCTGGTTTTGTGTGTCAACTTGACACAAGCTAGAGTCTTCAGAGAGAAAGGAGCCTCAGCTGAGGAAATGCCTCCTTGAGATCCAATTGTGAGGCATTTTCTCAATTAGTGATCAATGGTGGGTGGGCCCACCTCTGGGCTGGTGGTCCTGGGTTTTATATGAAAACAGACTGAGCAAGCCACTGGAAGCAAGCCAGTAAGCAGCAAGAGAAACCCTAAATAAGACACACACACACACACACACACACACACACACACACACACCGCGAGAGAGAGATAGATAGATAGATAGATAGATAGATAGAGAGAGAGAGAGAGAGAGAGAGAGAATCTTTCTAGTTTCCCAGCAGACTAAGGAACTCAAATACTCAAGTGTGTTCAGTTGTAATTAGAATAAAGACTGTTTCTACTTCTATTCTTAATTCATGTAGAATTTCTGCCAAAATTCTTACCAATGACAGTACATGCTCCTTTAATAGCTAGAGCCATGTAAGTTATGAAAAATAGCTTAAATAGTCACTACTTTGTTGTTAAAATTTGACAATTAGCAGTAGTCTCACACTGTATTTCCAGGCTTCCCTGGAATGTGTGATCCTCTTGCCCCAACCTCTGCACCGGCTAGTGGTTTCAATATGTAGCCCAGACTGGCCGCACATACATGATAGTGTGCTTGTCTCAGCTTTATAAGTGGGATTATATGTATATACCACCATGCCTGGGTTTTGCAATTTAAAATTTGTTTGTTCTTTGCTAATTTTCTACATTCATGCAATGTATTTTGACTATTTTTGACCTTTATTACTGTCTTTCTCCTGGCTTTATCTCCTAGGGAACCCTAGCTTATTCTTTACAAGTCCTTCCTTCTACTTCTGTGTCTCCTAAAATTATTTTTTGTTTTCACTGAGTTCAGTTGGGGTTGCTTGCTATGAACACAGTTAAGAGGTTGTTTAATGTAGTGTGGATGAGCTACCAGTGACTTCACCACCTAAGTAAATCAGCAACATTTATTTCAAATCCCTCAGAGACCCAAGAAGGAAATAATATTAATGAGTAAACAGGAAGTGCAAGCAAGAGACTTCTAAAAATTGTAAGAAATAACAGAAACAGCTGGCTGCCTGGACAGTCATCCAAACATCCTCTGCAATGGTGGGACCCATCTTTGGCCTAAAGGCCTAGCATATCCATCAGACTTTTCTGTGATTCAGGATAATCTGAAGGGCTGTCCCTCCTTGTCTTGACAATATTTGACAGTCACTTTCTTTTGTGTCCTGCTTGTCCAATTGGGACAGTGTACTATCAGCAGTCAAGGCAAGGACATTTTCTAGCCCAGTGATTTACATCTCTGTCTCATTATCATAGAAAAGAGCCCATGTTTTTAAAACATTTTAAATGCCATATTCTGTAGAGCTATGAAGTGTTTGAGGATGGCATATCTATCTAAAATATATCTTTGTTAGAGCCAGTGGCTGGTTGCTTTGCTTTGCTGATATTCAGGTTGAACCCCAATATCTTTGTCTGGGTTTTTATTAATTCTACTACAGATGAGGAACACAGGCAAGCCAGTGCTAGAGACTCCAATTAGATGCCCCTTGAGCAGGGACTTAGACCACACTTAAAGTTGTGGAACTAATTCTTAGTCCTTCTTCACTTTCTGAAGACCTGTCACATGAAAATCAATTTTTTCTTTCAGGGATTAGCAAATCAGATACTCCCTAATATGTTTTGAATGGATGCTTATAGAATAAATATAATCAGTTATACTTGTATTTTGAGACAGAATAAGCAAAATCATGCTTTATTAATTACAACTAAATTGTACGACTATGGTGCATATTTTTATGGCATGATATCTGGTATTCTCACTTAAAGTATGTAATGAGGAACTGTGAAGATTCTCACATTGCAGCATTTTTGTACTGTATACTTAGCATCATTTTCACTAACTGACTGCATCACCTAGCAAATGCTTTAATGCCTGGGCTTCTTGGAGGTTTGCAGATCATTTCATTATCTAAAACAGAAATAAATTTCATGTAATTGAGCAGTCACATTGCAGCTCTATACTGTTTCATGCCTTAGGAAGTGAGGAGCCTGTCCCTCTAATATTCCTTTCCCACTGTGAGCCTGCAAAAGATATTCCTCCAATTCC